AGTGCTGCAGACTGCATAGAAAAGTCTGAGAGCTCTGCAAGAAGCTCAAATTGGTCTTTTTTTTTTTGGCCACATGAACAAAAAATGTGAATACTGTAAGTCAGCTTTACCTGTCAGCTCAATTTTTAGGCTAGTCGTCATCATTATAAGTAATTAAGAAACAACAGGATCATCATCTGTCCAAATATTTATACCAGCACCAACGAGTGATGTTGTATTTAAGAATCAAAATGAATTCTTTACGCCAGCTGTTCGACTCTTAACTCTGTGTTTGTTCAGTAAGAGACATTTTCTCTGGAAGTGGAGAACTTTGGCTGAGTCACCAAAACTGATCCAAGTTACTCGAAGTGACTCTTGAAAAGTTCTTGAACCTTGAAATGGGCGATGAGGGGTTCCTAGAGAATATATCCCGACCCCGGTGTCTGTAGTAGTTTGTTATAAGTTTGTCTACTCTTCAGAGGTCAGCAGAAAATACAAAAACATGAAGGTTAGGTCATAAAAACAATGATGTAATACATGAACATTCATGTTGACCATCTCAGGACCAGTAGTGTCGGGCCCCAGGTGTTGGTGAGTGAACAGTTTCTCTGCAGTGTTTTTGGTTTGAGGTGCTTGTCTCAAAGGTGCGGCTGATGTTTGGCAGCTCATGCACTGAAAAGATTGAGTATTATCAATCTCTGATAGCATGGAGGCTTCATGCCAAATGGAAATTGCCTAAATACAAGTTGTGGAGGTGAGGAGAAGAGAGGGAGGAGTGGGAATAAAGAGGGGGGGAGGACAGTTGAAAAACTGTGAAGGATAATAAAGGAGAGAGCAGGGAAGGGGGGGGGGGTCTCAGGCTTTCATTACACCGTTGGTGTAATGGTGATTTATTGTGGTTACCAATAGCAACAACATAGCTGGGGGAGAGGGCAATAATAACACTGAGTGGTTTAGAGGAGACAGCATAACAACTGACAGTTCTGCACACACACACACACACAGTCACACACACACACACACACATAAACTTACAGATAGTGTTGACATTACCAGGTCATTGATCAGATAGTCCATCAACATGAATAGGGATATTTCTGATCATGCATTTTAAGATTGAAGTAATTTATAAAGCAAAAATGATGAATATTCTCCTGTTTCTTCAAATAAATAAATAACTCAGAGAGTGATAGATGACAAGTGTTAGTTTGATTACTTATGTGCCCCCAGCACCATCATGCTGTGTAATGCAATAATTTAAATAATTTATTTTAATTATTCCTCTAAGAATGATAATACCTGCACAATGTGCAAACATCTATCAGGTCTGAGTGAGTCTGGCAAAGTTAAGAAAACAACAGCTGAAAGAGCAGCAGAGACACACAAACACATTCAAACCTCCTGGGGGGGAATAAACATGGCTACTCTGAATAGAGAGCACATCTCTCTTAGATGCTATAAAACACGTTGAGGAGAAGAAAAACAGATGCCTCCCATGTTCTAAACTGTTTCCTCAAAGTTAAAGATGAGAAGACATGTGTAGTGCTAAGTGCTCATTATTGAGCTGTCAATCAAAAAGTGTGGGTGGGACAAGACGAGTTTGATGTTCCTGCTTCTAACAATAGCTATCCTGCTCATCATGTGTTTAAATCTAAGACGGTTTAAAAGACAAAGACATCCTTACATCAGAGCCTGAAACCACAGAACTTTGTATTTAAAAAGAAATCCATGAAAATCATCAGATTTGACTAATGCAATTAATCTTTGTCACTAACAAATCTTCTATTCTGCACACAGTTGTATTATTTGTGGTAAATCCCCACTAGACGAGGATGTTAAAATCATTTTAACCTTAAACATAATGAAAAGAAAAATGCTTTGTTTGGATGAAAAGGCTGTTTTGCAGTGTGTGAGTGTGTTTCTGTGTTTTACTACTGTAGCTGCTGCAGTTTAACAATGTTTGTGGGCTGTTCAACAGTGTACACACATACACACACACACACACACACACACACACACACACACACACAGGCCAGTCCTGCTCTTTCTTCCTAGGTCCATGGAGAGATCAGTGAGCCTGCTGCTGTCTAAACGTTTGATCCTAAGTGTAGACTTTATATCCTCCACTGACTGACACACTGTAACTCTGTAACCCCGTGGAGCCCGGGACAAACGTCATATCAGGAACTAAAGCCCCTCTGCAGCCTGAGAAAGCACAAAAAACATCCAGACACAACATTTAACTGATCGTATGTTCATCTTTTATTTTCCTACAGCTTTAGTTCCTGGCAGCTATCAGTGGTATTTACTGATATGTCGCTTTGTAATCATGAACACCTGAGGACATAGAATCATACAGCAGCATTTCTACTCCCACAACTTGAAATAATGTGCAGCTTTGTAGACTTTAGGCTTTGATCCAGAGTATCTCTTTATCACTGTCAAAGCAGCAGGCTCACACAGCACTGTATTTTTAACACAGTAGTCAAACCAGTCACACTTTTCCAGTCCTTCTTACTACCTTAATGGAATTAATTTCTATCCTTAACTTAACGCCACCTATTCTTAACATTGCAATGAATTGTATGTTGATATTTGGATGTTGGAACATGCACATTTATGTTCAGACACAATCTCTGTGAACTCAGTGTGAGCTCAGGTTTTTCTTTGTTTTCATCCCCGTCTTTTAAAGTTTCCTGCAGGCTGTGCTCCGTCTCTGGAGCCAAATCATGAAGCATCTCACTGCTGCTGTTACTTATAGAGCAGAAAATGGATGGCCAGGAGTGTTTTTTTGTCAGTGTGTGTGTGTGTGCGTGCATCTGTGTGTGTGTGTGCGTGTGTGTGTGTGTGTATGTATGATCTGTGTGTGTATATGTCAGACAGTGTTGAGTCCACTCTCTTGCTCGGGGCTGTCTGATTCCTTCACAGCTGGGTCTGATTTTTAGATTAAAGGTGATAACACACAGTCACATTCACACAAAGACATATACAAACGCACACACAAATACACACCAGAGCAGTCCAGTGAGCTGGGAGTGTGATTGATTGAAAGGCGCCAGGTGTTAAGGTTAAGGGACGATCACGGCAAGGAGAACAGAGGACACACAAACACACACAAAACCTTTTGATTGAGGTTAACGGTTACCAAGGTTGTTGTTTTTCTTGTGTATAACAATAATACTGTATCACGTAATATCTGAGAGTTATACTAAAGGTCTTACACTTTTCATTCTTCTCTTCCTCTTATGTGACCCCGGTCTTTTTACTGTTTGGTTACAGCTGATAATTGTTCAATATTACTTGAGAAACAGCATCTTCTTTGTGTGGTTTTTTTTATGTGTTGACACAATATTTTTTACACAATAAGAGGCGGATGAATTGATCATTTAAAAAAAACAGTTAATTGTCGCTGTAAAAATGTGGGTTCAGTGAAGAGCTGACTTGGTTACCTCCTTGACTGCACAGCACAGTGAAAATACATGCAGCCTCACTTCACCAGCTTTACTTTACATTTTAGTTATTCAGTTCACCTTTAAATGAAAATATTCTGGGGGGGTTTCTTCCTCTGTTGGGGTCTTGTGCAGTCCTCTCTCTCTCTCTGAGCTTCATCTTTAGATTCAAAGCACTGAAAATGTCTTGCTGTTAGTCTCTCCTGGGAGAAGAGCTAAGTGCACAGCTACCCCTTCCTCTCCGTGTCTTGCAGGGCACTCTGACATTTACTCGATATGGCGACATTGTTTTCCACTGGTTTAGGTATAGTGACAACTGTGAGCCCGGACATTTTTTTTTTTTGTGCAGTGCAGAGGGGAAGAGAGGACAGGGAAGGGATGGGACAAGAGAAAAGAAGAGATTTACGTCAAAATATTTGAAGCAGAAAATGACAGAAACTCCTTAATCTGCACACCACCATACTTATAACGAGCGGCTGAAATCCTCAGTAGCCAATCAGTGATCAGTTAGATAATTGAATCTTAAAAATCAGTTGATTCAGTTTGAATGAAAACTGTGATATAAGCAAACATGTATACAATGTGTGTGTACGCAGGTGAGGAGGGGGGGAGAGCATCAAATGGCATTTTTTTTGTCCTGTGGGCTCATCTGCTCTTTATTTCTCATCCATCCATCATGTGATAAAACAAAGAGAGATGGGGGAGGAACCATTTGAAAAATGATACACCGAACAGTGCAGCATTCACTAAGACTCAGATGTTTTTGTCTTTGTCCATCTCTTCAGATTGATAAGCATCTTATGTGTACTTTTTTAGTGTTCAACATAAACTCACTGTGGGTACGTTAGGTTGAATCCCTCATCAGAAAAGAGAGAGACAGTTTTCAGCTTGAATGAATGTCTGTCTGTTTCAGTTGATTTCCCAGCTCAGCCATTGAGGGCAAACTTTAAGCCATAGGATGTTTTGAGATTATGGTCTCAGTTTACATTACCAGGTCATTTAAGATTCAATTATTTTAAACAGCTATCAGGTCTTAGAATGAGCGCGACAATGCCTGATGAATATCAGAAAACTGAACAGATTCTAACTTCTTTTAGTTTTCATTTTGATGTTGAACACTCTTCACGTCTCGTCCTGGACGCTGTGATCTGTCGTTGAAGGTTTGAAATTATTTTTATCCTCAAGTTTTCAGCTGCTGATGTTCGCGACAGGAGAGATGAGAGGACCAAATTATTTGACTCTTTTGTCTCCCACCATCCTGTGAATCATCACAGATATTTTATTTTGAGCTTCTCTTTTGCACAATGCTGTGATGACAAGGACAGAGGCGGCATCAGAAAAAGAAAACGTGTTATTTATGGACTGCAGGTTATATATTTATTTATTTGGCATATTTGTGGATTTTGAACACTCCTTATAGAACGTGTAGCGTAGCAGGAACTGTTCGTATGAAGAAGGTGTGTGAGGTCATGTAGAGTTTCATTATGAAGTGTGAACTGCCTGTCAGTAACCTGCCAGTAAAGATAGATCTAATTCTTTCTTGTTTTTTTTAATTGTAGGGCGTCGGGCGCGATGGCTAATGCCTCCCCAGACCTGGACAACGCGGATGCCCAGCGCCAGCTCAACAACAACAACCGACCAATCGGCTCCGGGTTCTGGGAAACTGAGTGCACCAGCTCCAAACTGTTTGAGTGCTCCCGCATTAAGGCCTTGGCAGGTCAGAGGTCTTGCATGACTCAATGCTTACTCATATCTCTACAGACACACATACTACAAACACACTCTCATTGGCTGATGTATTAAAGTGTCTGTTTTAGCAGTAAAACGGTGTAAAGCTGTTGAAAGAAAATGTCCCCTCAGCTGATATTTTAGATGCTTTTGGATTTGATTTGACTAAACTGTGTTTTCCTTAAGAACCGGATTGTTCTTTCCTTTTCCCTTTTCCTAAATTTAAATCCTATCCTTTGTTTCTATCAGATGAACGAGATGCGGTGCAGAAGAAGACTTTCACCAAGTGGGTTAACTCCCATCTGTCCAGAGTTTCCTGCCGTATATCTGACTTATACAACGACCTGAAGGATGGATACATGCTCACCAGACTCCTGGAGGTCCTCAGTGGAGAGCTCCTGGTGGGCGCGCACACACACACACACACACACACACACACACACACACACACACAAATTCACAGACAAACACACACACATGAAGTCAAAGAAAAAAGGCGCACAGCCTTTCTGATCTTTGATGGATAGTTATGTGATTAGCAGTGTTTCCTCCTTAGACAGCTACATATTGTAACTTCAGACACGGCTACATCAAGGTTTGTTTGTTAATTTGTTATCACAGGTTCATACTAGATATATTCAACCAGCAGCAGGCTTAAACACTTTAAAGTGTAAAGTAGAATTTTCTCACATTGTTTCTGAAGCATGTTTTTGGTGTCAAAAGAGGACATTTTCTGATATTTTTTACATAAATGTCCCCAAACCTTTTATTACCTCTGCTGTTTCCAAAAACACTCAAAGCTTGTCTTGTGTTTTTTTTTAATTGAATGGTAAGAAAGTTACAAACTGATGTTCTTCAAAGTAATCTCTGTTTATAGATGATGTTAATGCTACATGATGCTTCTTGTAGGACATTATCAGAGATGCTTTGATGCCATTATTAGTAATAAATCCCTTTGTCTCCACCAGCCGAGGCCCACACGGGGGCGTATGCGTATCCACTACCTGGAGAACGTTGATAAAGCCCTGCAGTTCCTTAAAGAGCAGAGGGTTCACCTGGAAAACGTCGGTTCACATGACATTGTGGATGGAAACCACCGCCTCACCCTTGGCCTTATCTGGACCATCATCCTACGCTTCCAGGTAAAAAGCAACACATGCAAGTCACCTTGTTATGTTTAGATATTTTTATCACAACTCATCAGTGATGTGACACGTTTAGGGAGATGTCTCCTCGAGGTTAAGATCATGTAGACCATGACCAATGGTTAAAAATCATTTCCTTTGATGACTATGCTCTTCTCTGATTTCTCAGTGTTACGCTGATAAGTACTCATGTTTCGTAGTCTGCATGTTTAAAAGGAGGCGTACTATTGCTGTGTAAGTTGTTATTACCATTTTGGAAACAGAGACACAAGACAAAGTAAAGTACATTTCATTGAGCTAACAATACATGACTCATTAGTCTTCAGTATCCAATCCCACCCAATGTATTACAAAGCATATTTAAAAACATCAACAGTGGACCAAAGGGCTGTACAATCAAAAATAAAACACAATGAAACACAGGATTTAAATAGTAAAAAGTGTGAAGACAGATAGGAAGGGAGAATATGGATAAAAGCTGACTCTCAAGCAGAGAGTCTGATGTATAAAAGTGTGTTTTAAGGTTAGATTTAAAAACAGGCAGTGAGGAGGACAGATGAACATGTGGATTGAAAATGATTCAGAGCGTCGGTTCTGCATCATCTGCAGTAGATTTCAGATTTGTTGTTGTGTCTGCTCTGGCTGTTACGTTGTTAAACACAATACTAAAGAAAACTACAGCAAACACTTTAAGAAGCTTCTTTGTTAGACACACAGCGGGTTTATCGGATGACACTTTTATATAAACACTTTTGGTAAACTATAGCAGTCGGTGCTAACTTATGTAAAGCAGATATGTGACATGTCAGATCCATCCTGTGTTTGCCAGTTAGACACTTTCATTGTGAAGCAGCCGCAGAGCCAAATGTTAGATTTATAGAAGAATGCATGTGATGATTCTTCGCTGATACAGCTTCAGGAGAGAGAAAGCTGAAATGCATGTTTCCTGTTAGTCTAATTTCTGTCTGAAGACGATTTGAATTGTGTGCTGGCATGGCAGAGTCCATCTTTAACATCAAATGACAAGAAAAGTCTTTACAGAATGAAAACATGTAGGGGGGGTTAGGGCTGAAAAAACATTTAAAAATGTGGTTTGATTACTTGATCATTTTAAGGATCATTACTTAATGCTCGGCAGTGATGTGATATTATTAGTACTATATCAGCTTCTGTAGTTAAATATGGATAAGCTCAACTTAAAGCTTAATTATGGGCTGGATTTAAAATAACTGATTCTTCCTGTGTGACACCAAAGCTTAAATCAGAGCTTCTCTCTAAGTGCAGCGGCGTGTTGGCATGTGCTCCTGTGCTTACTGAGGCATGAGGATACTGTATACAGCAGTGGTTTCATTAAGGATGAGCTGCCAGCCGTTTGTTTTAGAGAGGCTGTCCGGGCTGCCGCATCATCAGCGTGCGACAGCGACAGCAGTGTTTGGTGGATGAAGCCTGAATGTCACTCAGGGCTCTGCAGTCTATGGAGGTAGCAGTCGCCTTCCTGAACACACACACACACACACACACACACACACACACCCTCACTGCACTCACTCTCTCACACTCTGTCAGTCGATCAGTCTCTCCAGCTTCACTCACATCTAAAAACCGACTGATGTACATGCTGTCACACAAACTCAGACATGCTTCTTCCACACATGAGGCCTGAGCAGCAGTGATACAGGATCAGTTCCTGCCATGTAAGTACGGCAGAAGCCCACGGCTCCTCTTTATTACGCTTCAGTGCTACAGTGTGGCTTCAGCACAAAACTGCTGCTTTAGCGTTATTCAGACCCCTCTGTAACATTCACGGTCCACACAGTCGCCGAGCTGCTCTCTCCTGGGACTCATTTTTGTCATGCTAGGCCTCGCTACCTACCACAAAGCACATTAAACAGCACTGCTAGCAGACTGAGATTGTAGCATGTGGAGTGACCCTCAAAGAGAGGCAAAGAGAATAAATGTTGTGACTACAGTGTAATACAGTGTGACTGGCTGTACTCACTATTTGTAATGTTAATTATGGTCAGCTAGTTCCTGGTGGACACTACTATCATTTAGAGGGAATCTCAGAGTTTAAGGCCTCTTTCTGTTATTACTAAATCATGGCAGCATATCCTGGGATTTTTTTTTTTCCCAAGTCAGGTTTCAGCGATTAATCTGAATAAGCTGTGAGCTTTGCTTTAGTCCTGCTTTCCTGCTCCTGAGAGCGAGCAGTTGATGGCCTCTTCAATTTTACATGTGCTGAGAAAGGAGAGCATGCAGAACGGTGGTGTTCAGGTGTGACTGACGAGAGAGAGAGAGAGAGAGAGAGAGAGAGAGAGAGAGAGAGAGAGAGAGAGTAATTATGAAAGAAGTGAGGATAAGGGGAGATGATTGGCTAATGCAAAAAAGCTATCAGTGATTTTTTTAAATAAGTAATGAATGTGTAGGCTCAATGTGACCGTCACCCAGGACACTAATGACTAAATAAAGGTTAATATTATCGTTTTCAAGCGGCTCTTTATCATCATTTATGCAGCAGCATTATCACACACTTACTTAAACTGCCATGTGTGTAGACTTGTGTAAATCACTGAACTTCTTGTGATGAAAGAAACAACAAAAAAACTCAAAGTGTTTGTTGGTCTTTTTCGATTCTCTGATATTTTGAAATGTTCAAAATCCCAAACAAAAAACACCAACTGGAATTTACATTTTTAGACAATTCAAATTCATTATCACCCCTTTGCATTTTCTGAAGATTCATTCATTTTAAATAAAGATGGAAAGTGAAATAACGGGAGCAAAATGTAGTGTTTCATACTGAAACATTTAGAAGTGACACAAAATACAGCAACTGGTATTCCTAGGATAAAGTGCAATAAAAAAGTAAAGAAAACAATTTTTTTTTATTTTAAATAACAACCTATTGAGTTTAGGGAACAGCCTCATAATACACCAAGAAGTTATTAATTTGATTTGCTTTGGTAATGTTTCAAATCGAGTCTTAACATGTTTGTTAAATCAACATGAAGATACTTTAATGACTGAACTAACTCATCATGAAACTAAAACCATGTCAGTGTGGGTCATATGTTCAAACAAGATAAGTTTATCTCCTTTTCAAATGAAAGAACCCCGTACATTTCACACAGTTCAGCAGGTAACTAACTGATACTGTAAAGTCAGCAGGGTGGATTGATGTCCAGAGACGGCTGAGGAGGATCATCAAGCTTCAAGTCATCTTTCCCTGTCTTTGTTTTCTCCTCATATCTTCCCCTTTCAAACCTTCCTCTGCCCTGAAAGAGAGTTTACTTTGTCCAGTCAGCAGGTAGGGCCCAAAGCACTGCAGTAACTGCACAAAGGCAGAGAGAAGGAGGCAGGAAGAGAGAGAGGGAGAGAGAGAGAGAGAGAGAGAGAGAGAGAGAGAGAGAGAGATACACACAGAGAGGGAGAGAGAGAGAGAGGATTGATGGTCAATCGTTTTTAAAGAACCAGATGATAACATGCTGTTATTAAAAGACTTCAGTTGACATCAGTTTAATCGTTGTAGTGTCCTCGTGTTGTTTGTGTGTGATTGTGGTTTTACATGAGTTTCAAGTGAAATATATTGATTTACATTATATTTAATACGTCGTCGGGTTGATCAACTTCACTGATTAAGGATTTATTAGAAATAATGGAAAGTGCAGTAATAGCAGAAATTGATGCACAATTAGCAGGTGATCATTGATAACTGTGATTAAATCAATTTAAATCTCTCCTCATTCAGATCTTTCCAGTAATTGTGTGTAACTGTGTGTGTGTGTGTGTGCTCATTGACATCATGGGTAGCAGCTGATCTCAGGGTGTGATGTCTCTAATTACCTTGGATCATGTCACTGTGATGTGATCAGTTGAATGGCTGCCTGTCACTGTCGCCTGGCGTAGTGATGAATCTAAATCTAAAGCTCTTGTTGCTCTTTGTGTGTCATCTCTGTTAATTCTGTCTAGTGTGCGTGCATGTGTGTGTGTTTAGGTATATTTATATGTCTATATGTTACATGTTCTTATATGTCACAATGCTTGGGGTGTGGGGAGAACAGCATTTCGTCCTTGTTATGTATGCAGATGCGGAAGTGCTCAGTGGTAGAGTCGTTTCCCCCTTAACCGGAAAGTCGGGGGTTTGTTCCTCCTGCAGCCACATGTCCTATCTGTCCTTGGGAAGGACACTTAAACCCCAAGTTGCTCCCGCTGTGTGTAGGCAGCATGTGAATGTGAATGAATGGGTTTAGTTAATACTGATGGTCTCACTACACAGCAGCCTTTACCATCAGTGTGTGAATGTGTAGGTGTGACCTGCGGTGTAAAAGCACTTTGAGTGATCAGAAGACTAGAAAAGTGAGACTCCTCCAGCTGTTTCCACTCTTACGACTGCTCTAGACTCAGAGTAACTGATATATTTGTTTAACTTTAAAGTGAATGAAAATCAAAACTGACAATTTAGACACTAGGTTATAAAATGATCTGTATTATTTAAGCAGTTAAAAGTGATTTCCCAAAAAACTTGAGTTTTTAAACATTAAATAAGTAGACATAGATTTCAGCGAAGGACGGGTATATAACAAGAACAAAACTAAAACAGAAGGTTAAAGGCCTCTGCCACAGTTTCTCTCACACACTCTGAAGTGTTGCTTTGCTGTGTTCTTGTTCAGATCCAGGTGATCAAAATAGCAACGGAGGATAACAGAGAAACCCGCTCTGCAAAGGATGCCCTGCTGCTCTGGTGCCAGATGAAGACCGCAGGGTGAGAAGTCACACAAAATAATACAGGATACAGACTGCATGTCATTTATCGTCGATTCAATGAACCTACTGTATATGGTGTGTAATTGTAAGTTTGATTGCCACATGTTGGTGTACAGTTAGAGTGACTGTAGATTCTTCCATGCCACAGGTACCCTGAGGTCAACATCCAGAATTTCACCACCTGCTGGAGAGACGGCCTTGCCTTCAACGCCCTCATTCACAGACACAGGTAGGTTCTATTTTTTACACACCTAATGAGTATGCTTTCATTTCAACACTGAGAAGTTCTGACTTCACAGCTGTTATAATAATCATTCTTATTCTTCTTATTATAATGATTATTATTGAAAAATACAAAAAGTAAAGATGAATTCAAATATCTACAGAAGGATTTAAATCAACCCACAAACATGGTTTTGGAAAGATTTGACCTACATAGCAGTTTGAGGAGTACAGCCATGCGAACATGACATGTGACCATTTTGTGCCTAACAGACCTGACCTAATAGAGTTCCACAAGCTCACGCGGTCCAATGCAACCCACAACCTCCAGCAAGCCTTCAACATCGCCGAGCAGCACCTGGGCCTCACCAAACTCCTGGACCCTGAAGGTGAGCATGTTCAGTCAGATTACATAACATGCAGAAATATCCATGATGGCGTTCTAAAACAGAATTCTTATTTTTAACCACTGAGGTTAATACTTAATACTGTGTTGCTCAAACTTAAGTCAACTCCTCTGTGGTCTTCTCTCTGTCTCCCACCACCTTGTTGTGCAGATGTGAACACAGAGAACCCAGATGAAAAGTCCATCATTACCTATGTGGTCTCCTACTACCATTACTTCTCCAAAATGAAGGCTCTTATTGTGGAGGGCAAGAGGGTTGGCAAGGTAAAAAAATTAAAAATTAAAAAAAACTTTCCGCAGCTTAAGCACAGTGAAACTCCATGTAAAGTCCAGCGTTTCTGTTAGCAAGCCAAACACTTCATCACAGGAGCAGGAACAGAAGAAGAATGCATATCATATACTGAGTATCACACTGTGCATCCCTCTCTTCCCATTTTGACCTTTTTTTCCTCCACTCATTATCACATTACTCCTCTCCAAATATGTTCGCAACCTTGTGCTGTCTATCCGGCTCAGGTGCTCGACAATTGTATCGAGGCAGAGAAGATTGTCAACCGCTATGAGGCTCTGGCGTCCGACCTGCTGGAGTGGATAGAAAAGACCATCGCGGTCATCAGCAACCAGAAGTTTGCCAACTCGCTGACGGGAGTGCAGCAGCAGCTACAGGCCTTCACGACCTACTGCACCATAGAGAAGCCCATCAAGTACGTTCAGTTAACTTTTAGAATGACATCTTGATATTTAAGTCATTACACAAACACTCCTTATCATGCATATTCATTCATACATGTCCTGTACTGCAGAGCACATAGTTTAGAGGTTTATAGAAGTTTTTTTTTTTTTTTACTGTTTGTGCAAAAAGTTTAAATGAGTTTACAAACAAGTATTCTTGACATTTGCATTCATTTAGTGTAGTTAATAAAGAGCTGGTAGAATTAGAAACTGTGCAGCCTGTGGAAAAGGGCTGTTCTGTAAAATAGAATAGAATTACTTTATTGATCCCAAACTGGGGAATTGAGGCGTTACAGCAGCAGGTTGTTCAAACACACAATATGAGCAATTTTAACACAATATAATATTAAATACAAAGTGAATAAGCACTAAAAATATAAAAACTAAGAATGGGAATATATACAACCAGGATTTAACTAAGCATTACTAGTCTTAATTAAGAAAAGATTAAATACAACATACTTTGCTGTAGATAAATGTAAATGTAAATGTAAATGTAGATAAATGTAAATGTGCAAAACCAGTGCAAAACCAGTGCAAAACCAGAGTTGTAAATGGACAGTATTGACATGGGGAGCTGTCCAGAGCTGTGCAGTCAGTAATACATAAGTTAAAGAAAAAGAAATGTGTCAAACCTTTGAGCATGCAGATTCATGATTCTGCAGGGTGCCACATGTTTTTTTTTATTTCTTAACCCTTAAGAAAATCTTGTTCACTGCCAACCAACTGAAACACAGAAACAAGGAGATTTAATTAGATGAGATTTAAATCACAGCAATTAGTTCATAAATGATTACCTGATAAGAGTTTTAACCTGCGTCATTTTGTAACTTATCTTTTAATTAGTAATTATTTAAATGCTGGAACTTATCTGGCTCTCTTGATCTACCTCGGATGTAAGGATTTTAAATTTTTCTGAGAAATTTGCGTTAAAACTTTCGTGTTTAGTATTGTTGGGCAGACACACCAAGACATACACAGACACCAGCTTTGAGGAATATAACAGTCACCTGGGCGGCAGTAGCTCAGTCTGTAGGGACTTGGATTGAGAAGCAGAGGGTCGCCGGTTCTAGTCCTGGTGCAGACAAAGTATGGAAGTTGGTCTGGTAGCTGGAGAAGTGCCTGAGCACTGCTGAGGTGCCCTTGAGCAAGGCACCAAACCCCCTCCCCACCACCAGCTCGGGTGCCCACCGTGGGCAGCTCTGTCACTCTGACATCTCTCCCTTAGTGCCATAGGTCCATAGGATCCTGTTTGTGTGCATGTGTGTATATACTTCAGGCTATGTGTGTGTTGCATGACTACAGAGTGTAAAAACTGAAATTTCCCCTCACAGGGATCAATAAAAGTTAATCTTATCTCCTACATTCCTACGCATGACATCCTACTCAGAATATCTTCACAAGAATCCATTTGCACATTTGAAGTTAAAATCACCAATTGATGTCTTGTCATCATATTCCAAGGTCCTGAATGTCTTTCATTTCACAATGAGGCTCTTGCACTTGTTCTGAAAATGTTGCCATATTGGTTTGATTCTGTAATAAACACACTCGAGACTTCCCCCTGAGTGACAAACCGTCCTGACTCTGGACAGCAGAGCGCAAGAGTGAGCGGAGAAACTGCACTTCACCAGGACTCCTCAAACCAGTGTCGGCCAGTATTTACTCCACTGGAGTGTCCTTGAACAAGACAGCAAAAGTTGGAAGACCTTGTTGTCAGCGTGTCCTACACAGGAGGGGACTGTTGAAGGAGAAAACAGGTTCACTCACTAAGGTTTTTGTGTTCCTCGCTCAGGTTTCAGGAGAAGGGGAATCTTGAGGTCCTTCTCTTCACCATCCAAAGTAAACTCAGAGCCAACAACCAGAAACCCTACGTGCCTCATGATGGGAAGCTCATCTCCGACATCAACAAGGTCATGCATCCACCAGCTCTGTGTTCTAATTTATACTAAAGTATTTCACCTTTTACTGAACAATGAAGAGGCAACACATACCAGTGAGAATCACAGCTCAGCTTAACTCCCGATGTTATATGGCTACATTTCCATATTACTGTTCTAGCTTCTTACTTTTCTATAGTTACCTTAATAACCCTAATAAAGGTTTTCATTGTCATGTTTCATCCAGGCCTGGGAGAGGCTGGAAAAGGCAGAACATGAGAGGGGCGTGGCTCTACGTAAGGAGTTGATTCGTCAGGAGAAGCTGGAGCTGCTGGCTCAATGCTTCGACCACAAAACGACCATGAGACAAGCGTGGCTCAATGAGAACCAGAGACTCGTTTCTCAGGTACAGATCTCAGATGCACCCCTGTTTAAAACAGTGTTTTATTATGTGAACGTATTCCTCATACTTCAGCTCCATCACAACTTCATCTCCGCTCCCATCTAGACAGAGTTTTGTTTTTTCTGTTTGTATTACAGCCCAACCCTTAAAAAGGTTACAACTGTTTTAATTCTACTTCCTCTCTTGTTATGAAGTTCAGACAAATGTTTTACAGTGGTTTAATATTTGAATGAAAATATTCCAGGATCTGGGTGCTTTAAAGGCTTTATAAGTGATTTTTTGATCCAGCAGGTGTCGCCCTTGAGCACCAGCATGAAACCAAAACAACTCGCGCTGCATTGTTGTGTTAGCATGCTAATGCTAGCGATCTTTATTACGCTCGTATCTTCACACTGCATGTAAATTTACCTGAAATGAGCGTGATCTAGAAACACAGTTAAGCAGTGAGTACAGTATGTTATTCTTCTTTTCTCTAGTCCCTCAATTAAACAACTTTTATATGTGAGGGGAGGAGTCAGCCGGCCGTCCTGGCGTTGTAAACAAACTGAAGATAGGACTCTGAAAACTCTGAAAACATCCCAGACAGTGGGACTCGGGTGTTACACTCATTGTAGACAGTCATGACTCACAGTTATTTTCAGAGGATATACTTGATTTATATTACATTTAAGTGCGCATATTAAGCCTTTAAATCTGCATTAGAGAATAGTATTTAAGTCATTTAAAATGTCTATGATGTCTTGTTCTTCTGTGTGAAAGTTCAGGTTCTAGCTGTGTTTGTTCTATGTCTGTAGATATTGTCCATCAGATTCAGACTAATGTTTACATCTTGTTTTCTTTTTTCTTCTCTCTGCCAACAGGACAACTTTGGCTATGACCTACCAGCAGTTGAGGCGGCAATGAAGAAACACGAGGCCATCGAGGCGGACATAGCTTCTTATGAAGAACGAATAGGGGTGGTGGTTGAGCTGAGTGCAGAGATGGAGTCGGAGGGATACTACGACATACGACGCATCCTGGCACGAAAGGAGAACATCCTGGGCCAGTGGAGTCTGCTGAAGGAGCTGGTGGCTGGACGGAGGACCAGGCTGGAGAAGAACCTGGCTCTACAGAAGACTTTTCAGGACATGGTCTACATGATCGACTGGATGGAGGACACACAGGTAATGAAGGCTAGTAAGAGAAACCAACCAAAAGTGGAGGGAAACGTTCATACTCTGAAAAGTGAAAAATGTAAATTAGAGATCCAGATATCAAAGAAGAAAGAGTGCATATGTGTACTTGCATGTTTTTGATTATTAAAAGAAACAAAAGAAAATGAAGCAGGGATGAAAAGAGAAATAAAATTAGATAAAAATGGATTACTGAAGTTCCCTTTCATCACTCTGCTTTCTCTTTCTTCTTTCCTCCCATCATCATCTCCATCCCAGGTCCAGCTGCTGTCGAAGGACTTTGGGAAGCATCTCCTGGAGGTGGACGACCTGCTGCAGAAACACAGCTTGCAGGAAGCCGACATTGGCGCGCAGGCTGAGAGGGTCGAGACACTCAACACTGCCGCACTCAAATTCACAACTATAGAGGGTATGCAGTTTACACACATGTATCGTGTTTCTTGTATGTCATGTATAGTTTTGTTGTATTTAATTATTAAATATTTAATGATAAAATACACATAGCTATACTCATTGAATTAGAAAAAGAGAGGAAAATGGTATTTTGTGATTTAATCTTTAGTGCTTTATCCTTGTGTTCTTATGGTAATAGACATTTGTGTTTTGTCTTTCAGGCTACCAACCTTGTGACCCACAGGTGATCTGTAACCGTGTCAACCACGTCTCCTCCTGTTTGGAGGAGCTGAAACAACTGGCAGATAAAAGACGCTCAGAGCTTGAAGAGTCGAGGCAACTGTGGGCCTTCTTTCAGGTAGGACAGGTCATGAATGTTTCTGTGAGTTTGCAAAAAAAAATCATTGTTACAACTTTCACACTCACCTTGTGCCAGGAATCGGCAACAGTTTGGTGGTAAGGTAAATCAGTAGAAAAGTTAGTTAAACTGTTTTATATTATTTAGACAATTCAAAACAATTGGCTAATAAACTCAGGATTAAAACAAATAAACAAAAACCAGAGAAAAGGATTCAATCAGGAGATTAAACAAACCCGAACAAAGACATGGAATGAGTTAGTAAGCCAGATTTGAACTTAAATCCACCCATCGGTGGTTCTCCATTCTTGGTATTATTGTTGCCTTTAGAAACAACTACATACATGTACATGTATTTAAAGTTTTTGTTTCCCTACTGCAGTAAAAATAAGAAAAACAACATTTTTAAGAGCATTGTTCATACAGGTTCAGTATGTCATTAGGCCCATATTAAAGTGTTGATTAATAAATCTATCATACTTTAATTAAACTCTGTTTTTGGAAGAATAATGGTCTTGTATGTTGTTTTTGTCACTTGTTAGGAGCTGGAGGAGTCGGAGGCCTGGATCAGGGAGAAGAGCTCCATCCTGGGAGCTCAGGGTTACGGGAAGGACCTGAGCAGTGTGTTGAAGTTACTTCAAAAACACAAGACGCTGGCTGGAGAACTACTCGCTCATCGCTCGCTGCTTCAGGTGTGTGTTTAGATATTTAAACATGTGTTATAAGATCATCACCCTGCTTGTTTTCAGTAGAGATATATTTGTTTATTTCAAATGTTTAACAGTTTTGAACGGTAATAATCACAATCAAACATTTTTTCTGGCTGTTATTGGCACAATTAGCGAGATAAAAGTTTTAAAAAAATCAATTAAAAGGAATATTGTAGTTTAGAGAGGAGAGTAAACTGTAGTTTAAAGTGTTTCACTTTATTGCATAAAGTCTGAAATGAGAACACTGGTAACCATCTATCCTGCCCCCTTCTCCAGAACACCATGAAGCAAGGAAAGCAGATCCTGAGTGAGCAGAGCTTCGCCATGGCGGGGATCCAGGACCGCATCATGGAGGTGAAGACTGAGTGGAAGAGTCTGGAGGACCAGGCGGCGCAGCGTCTTGGCCACCTGCAGGAGGCACTAAACTATTTCCAGTTCTCGACGGAGACGGACGACCTGGTGGCCTGGCTGCAGGACGCTTACCGCCTGGTCTCCAGTGAAGACTTCGGACACGATGAGTACTCCACCCAGTCGCTGCTGAAGAAACACAGAGGGGTCAGCGAGGCCATCGACAAACACCGACTGCATGTGGTGGCGCTGCGCAAACACATGGTGGCGCTGCCTCTGCGATACCGTGAACAGGAGGTGGGTAGCAGGAACAGGAAATGGATATTTTACATTTCAGTATTCATCATTTCAGTTGTTTTTAGTCACTCTTCCCGCTCCTACCTGCAGGAGTCACAGGTGCGTATGGGAGAGGTGGAGCAGCTCTATACTGAGGTGATTGAGGTGGCGGTGCTCAGGCAGCAGTGGCTCCATGATGCCCTTGCAGTCTACCGCATGTTCAGTGAGGTCAATTCCTGCGAGCTGTGGATTGATGAAAAGGAGCAGTGGCTGGACAAGATGGAGATCCCAGAGAAGCTGGAGGATGTGGAAGTGGTGGCACACAGGTGAGGAAAAGGGGGAGAAGAGGAAGGGGGAAGAGATTTGTTTTGGCATGCTAAAACTCTTAACCCACAGAGTGTCCCATCACTTCCCACAATGCCCTTTGTTCTAGGTTTGAGAGTCTGGACCAGGAGATGAACAGCCTAATGGGAAGGATCCTGGACGTTAACCAGATAGTCCAGCAGCTCCTGGATGGAGGTCATCCTTCTTCTACAGAAGTCAGAGGATGTCAGGACCACCTCAACTCCAGGTACTGAAACAAAACAGCAAACTTAGCTTCAAAAACAACCTCTGCACCAAAACCAGCATTCTGATTACTGTTTGTGCTTCCACTGACAACAACAATTAAACACCCTAATGCTTCTCTTTCAGTTTCACTGCTATTGTTACATTGCATCCCTCTTCCTGTAAATACCACCACTACTGATGTTCCTACTGTTAGTCCAAAGACAGCGGTACTGGTACATAGTGTTTCCCTCAAAGCACACTTTAATTGTATTGATAACATAATTCAGAGGAAGAAAATATAATTAACATTAAAGGAAATCTGTCATAGTTGTTTACAACTAGTGACCAAATATAGACTAGGGTTTATGAATGAACACCCAGTACCTTGTGCATTCTGTCTCTATTTATAATGGATGCTAAAAATGAGAGTTTGGTCATCTGATCAGAAACAACAGGAGTCTTTATGAGCCAGGACGCAGTGATAGCTGCTGCCAAAGTGCTGATTAGTAAGCCACTCAACAGTAAGAGAGTGTGGAGGATTTACTGCATGACAAGATTCATGTTTATTTCCACATTTATTTAGAGAAATTAATTTAAAGATTTTCATGAGCTGTGCTGCATCCAGAGAGCAGCATGTGGACTTATGTAGGTAAACGGTGAATTGGTTCATTACATCTCTGTCCTACTTTCTGCAGCGAGAAAGGAGGAAAAGAGAGATTGTGTAGAAAAGAGAAAATTTCTGTTTGGCCGACATGTTAATTTTACGTTGATGTCCAGCCAGGTCGGCCCTCTGATATGTGTCTCACTAATATTCACTGACCATTCACTGTCATGTCTGGCAGCAGAGCCCGTGACGGCCGGGTGTCCATGAGTCTTGTGACCTTGGCACGCGGTGTCGGTCTCAGGGTGGCCATCTGTGCTGCTGGCTGCCTCAGTTCGGACGTGGCCAACAGAGAGCAAACATAAGAAGAAACATACAAAATAAACACTTCTCTGTTCTCAGCACGTTTTCAAGTGTGAGACATATTAAATAAAGATCTTTACTAGACATGTCTTAGCTTGCTTCAGATACAGACACAGATTACAGATGATTGTTAACATTGGGGTGTTAAGTATGAATTCCCTTTATCTTTTTGATTAGCGACAGAGAAACTCAGAATGTACTGATCCAGTGTAGAAATATTCCTTCTTCATAAAGCACAAGGACATAATTTACTTCCTGTGTTCACAGCTCAATCTTTAATCTTTTACCTTTACTTATCCTGCGTAAGCTTATACACAATTTTAAAAGCATTAAAAACAATTATTATAACTAATTGAATGACTTTAATCATGCAGAGTTATGATTAAAAATAAATAAATATAACAAATCATTCAGTGTGTCATTTTTGAGAAGCAGCACACCCACATACAGAACCCCCCAAAAATCTCGACTGCTACTTTGCATCATCTTATTGTCTTATAAAGGCTTCTTTAATAGTTTCATATTTAGTCTTTAATTATTGTAAATGGAGAGTAAAGTTCACCAGAGTCCCATTCCTTCATGTGCACACATACCTGGCTAATAAAGCTGATTCTGATTCTAAAAGATGACTTTACTATGTGATGTTATAGTCACCAAGCTGTTTTATTTCCCGCCTGCTGAGCGCTCTGTCTGCCTCGCAGTGACTCTGCCGTTACCTCATTCCAGTCAAAGGATCTGAATGTGTGTGTATGCATCTTTGGACGTGTGTGTGTGTGTGTGTGTGTGTGTGTGTGATTCTTGGCTGAGCGGAGGTGCAGTGAGGTGTGCTTGTCTGGATCAGAATCAGGGGAACATATTGTATGACGATATGGTAAACAGTTGAGGCCTGGGCTCAAACCACAGCAGAGCGGAGAGCAATGATAATCAAGCTTCACATGAAACAAAAGAGGTCATGTCCGGTCATTTCAGGTCCTCAACATAGTGGTGACATGATTTTTAAAAGTAAGTGCTAAACGAGCAGGCTTGATTTCTGGTCTGACCTCCTTTGCCTGTGATACTTTTCAGTTGATAAATTATTTGATTCAGCTTCATCGATCACTTTCTTCATGTGCAGCTTTTAGGTGAACTAAGAGGAACATAATTACAGGCTGGTAGTCTTATGTTTTCAAGCCTTATCACTGTACAAAGGAAGAAAAATAAATGCATATTTATACATATATTACATATACTACATATTTATATCTTTACATTACTGAAACAAAACAGTATATGATTACTATCTATCACACATTTTTTCCTTCATAGAACAACATCCCACTCTCTTCATCCCCCTCAAACTACACTTGCAGTATGACCCTATCCTGCCTTTTTTTTTACGTCTTACCAGGTGGAACAGCATTGTGGAGCTGGTTGAGCTGAAGAAAGATCAGCTGGACTCGATGTTACGCCTGCAGAACTACCTGCTGGAGTGCGCTGAGATCAAGTCCCAGATCCAGGACAAAAGAAAAGCCATCGATGCTACTCAGTACATGGGCAGCGACCTGGGCGGAGTCCTGGCTCTGCAGAGGCGGCTCACCACCATGGAGGGAGCCCTGTCTGTTCTGGAGCCCAAACTCCTACATCTACAGGTCGGGAATCATGGGAAAAAACACTGAATAAAGAAACATTAAGGGAAAACGTTGTTTAGGGTTCGACTGTGGTATTCCTAATTTCTTTACCTGCACTTTAATGAATGTAGGAAGAGGCGGAGCATCTGGCAACCGTCCACGGAAGCCGGGCCATGGAGGTTCTCGTTCCTTTTGATGGCATCAGTGTGGAGTGGGAGGAGCTGAAACGCACCCTGCAGGGCTGTGAAGACTCACTGATGGTGGCTAGCAGGCTGCAGAGCTTCATACAGGTACACAGGAGGATTGGTTTCAATTTCACCTGATAGCGTGTAGCGGGTGATGGTGGCAGCTGCACTTGTGGCCATGACGGCTAAGCATTTTATAAACTTTCATAAACCTTAAAGTCTTTATATGTGATTTTCAACTTAAATGTAGAAATCAAGTATATCCTCTGAAAATAACTCTGTGAGTCATGACTGTCTACAATGGGTGTAGCACCCGAGTCCCACTGTCTGTGATGTTTTCAGAGTTTTCAGAGTCCTATCTTCACTTTGTTTACATTGTCGGGACGGCCGGCTGACTCCTCCCCTCGTGTATAAAAGTTGTTTAATTGAGGGACTAGAGAAAAGAAGAATAACATACTGTACTCACTGCTTAACTGTGTTTCTAGATCACGCTCATTTCAGGTAAATTTACATGCAGTGTGAAGATACCAGCATAATAAAGATCACTAGCATTAGCATGCTAACACAACAATGCAGCGAGTTGTTTTGGTTTCATGCTGGTGCTCAAGGGCGACATCTGCTGGATCAAAAAATTGCATATAAAGCCTTTGAACAAGTTTATGAAAGTTTGAAACCTTAGGGATGTTATACAGAGGATTGTTTTCCTCCTAAGACACATAAAAATACATTTTTACTGCCTAAAATTTCACAATAATCAAAGTCTGAATCAGAAAAAAACTATATAGATAGTTATAATGTTTTAAAAAGGGGTAATCATTCTCCTCATTATTAAAATGTAATTAAAGTCATCTATGTTCTTTCCCCCATCCTGCCAGGACCTGGACTCGTTCCTCACCTGGTTGGTCCAGACGCAGACCTCTGCTGCCTCAGACCAGCTGCCCAACGACCTCGAGGAGGCAGAGAAACTCATCAACAAACATGCTGCCCTAAAGGAGGAGATCGGACGGTGGGTGACTGATGGATCTCTGACATGTGTTCCTAACATGTCTTACAGCATACATCAGACACTGATTGAAGTTGTGTATTTCTGTGCAGGTATGAAGAAGACTATGAGCGCCTGCAGGCCATGAATGAGCTGCTGGAGTCAGAGGAGGCTCCTCTCCCCCAGGCCGCCCTGCAGCAGTGGCTCCAGAAGCTGGATGTCGGCTGGAACAAACTTCTGGAGATGTGGGAGAGCAGGAGAGAGGTTCTGGTCCAGGCGCATATTTTCCATCTGTTCCTTCGAGATGTTAAACAGGCCGAGTCCTTCCTCAACAACCAGGTGAGACGAGTCCAGACTGAGCATGTGGTCTGCTGACAGCTGACAAAGCTTTTGCAATTTAAGATGTACTTCTTTGGTCCTCATGTATGTTCCTTCTGACTTAATATGTAACTGGCTATCCTGTAAATGGCATTTTCACATCACTAAAATCTGCTAATTGTAAATAACTCCACTTGTTTTATATACCACCTTTAAGAAATGTCTAAAATTATGTTAGACATATGAAAGCAGCTACAGGCTTTTTTAATAAAAACGTTTCTCCGCTGCTGTTAAAGCAGAAACTAATCCTCCTTTTACTCTGCTCATTCTTCTTTTTCTTTTTAATCGGATCTTCTCTTCTAATGGTGGAGAAACAGAAGGAGTAATATACTGCACACCAAAATCTACAAACAAATGTGGATGCACAATGAGGGGGGGAGAAATAGAGCAATGGCTTTAAAAAAATCACATCTTTAGCTCTTCCTATTCCGTCTACCTGTAAGCCTTTGAAAAACGATCAGTCGAGCCGTATCTCATCATCTTAACATCCCGGTGTCTCGACAGAGGCAAAACATTGTCCTCTGACTGTACTGGGTGTGGCCGGCTTAGCCCTGCAGAAGTCGTTCTGAGATAGATAGAGAGAGAGAGAGTCACAGAGAGAGAGAGAGTGTGTGTGTACTGTGTGTGTACTGTGTGTGTATGTGTGTGTCAGCAGGTGTCGTTGTGGAGAGTGCCTCTGTGTTATGTGATATTAGAGCAGAGGCTGTCCTGGCAGCAGAATTCAGTAACTTTAGATTTACATTGTGGCTTCATGACGAGGTGTAGCAGGAGAAAACTGACCATAAATGCCTTCTGCTCAAGTCTATGAACCCGTGTGTCCATCACCAGGATGATGCTGTCAGTAAGCTTCTTTAGACTTACTCAATTCTGTCCATGATTGATGAAGAACCTCTCCAGTTTTTGGTTTGAAAAATACACTTTGATTAAATTATGATTTGATTAAAGCAACAGTAGATGTGGAACGATTTCACATTTACAAAAGATAATGTGGCAATTGATTTGGTAAACATTGGAGTTCTTTAAATAATGAGAATTATTGTTTGAAGTGCAGCCATTAAGTAAGCATAGAAATTAAAGATCCAAACGTTTGTGTCAAGCAATTAAAGCCGGCAGGACCTTTTTAAAGTCCACACACAGTTTTATTAGTAGCTTGACCTCAACTGGATTAGGACTCCCTCTTCAGTTGAGATAAATCAGAGGACTTTAAATTGGATTTTCCCTTATAGCATTTGTCATATTGTTAAGATTGAAGCAGATTTCTCTACAGAGCAGCCTGTGTCATAAAGTACACATGGGAGCTGGGGTTTGCAGTTTGCATTGCTGTATTTGCTCTCAGCATCACATGCACAGGGGGTTTGTTTTTCTAATCGGAAATGTCACAGGCAGAGATGCCCTTGACTCAAAGTTTGTGTGTGTGTGTGTGTGTGTGTGTGTGTGTGTGCATCCCTGTGTGTTGGCCAGAACGTCTCCTTCTGTTTGATAACAGATCTTTACCAGGAACCGACTCCTCTTCTTATAAGCCTGGGGGCGGGGGTGGCATTTCTTCTTCAATAAGTATCAAAGACGTTCCAGGCCATAGATCTCTCTCTCTCTTCTTCTCTCTGTTGTTCTGCCTCAGTTTTAGTTTCTCTGTATCCAGAGGCCAAATGCATCAGTAAGGTTATATCTTCAGTGTTTTGCTAAATCTTCTGTTCTGAACATCATTAATCAACATACTGCTGCCTTCTCATAAAGTGTCAAATGAAAATAACCTCTCGTTATAGATCCATCAAATGAAAGGTAGATTTCATGAAGCACAAAGAGATACCTTCACAATGTTTGTTTTATTCTACCCACAGTCCAAAACTAGAATATAATCCTTAAACTGTCATATAAGACGTATAAGAGCAGCCAATCAAACACTCTGATTCACAGGTCTCAAACGTAACCAAAAATGGATCAACGAGGAGGAGATGGAGATTTTCTTTTTGACTATATAGCTAAGAAACAACACTGGGGGTGCCGGTAGCCTAGTACAGAGGCTACAGTCGTCCAAGTGTGCGGTCCAGGTTCGAATCCGACCTGTGGCTCCTCTCTCTCTCTCCCAGGTTCTTGACTCTATCCGCTGTCCTATCTCTCAAATAAAATAAAGGCAAAAAAAGCTCCAAAATAAAACTTAAAAAAGGGCTTTCAATCTTTATGATTTAGGTTTCTGATCCAAGAAATCCCACTTCTCTTCCCCTCTTCATGATCTAGGAGTCCGCCCTGGCTCACGTGGAGCTGCCGACCACGGTGGAAACAGTCGAAGCAGCCATAAAGAAGCACAAGGACTTCACCACCACGATGGAGCTGAACCTGCACAGGATCAAAGCTGTGATCGAGGCTGGAGAGAGCCTGATCAGCCAGAACAACATCTACTCAGATCGCATCAAGGAACGCATCGACACGCTCGCCAACAGGTACCGAAACTCATAGAAACAAAAGAATCATGCAGAGAAATGAAGGAAATACTCAGATTCAAGCTAAAACGAAATTAAGGACTTGTATAAAATAATTCTTACTTTAGTTGGAGGAATTAAAGGATATCAAAAATACTTTGAAAGTTAAATTCTCACACTGGAAATTTGAATAGAAAGTTTTCCCCCCTGTTTATGAATTACACTCTTACGGATCAATGGTTTCAATTAATGGAACATTTCTGAGTCTAGACGCAGTTTACCAATAAATAAATGAAAAAGTTAACGCTTGTCAAAGCAGAGTAACGACTAAAGGACTGCCTTGTTCTTTAGGAGACTTTCTTCATACTGTAAAGAGGAAGAAGTGGGAGTTGTATCTTTAAAGGTCCCATGTTATGCTTTTTCTGGTTTTATATGCCCTTTAGTGTGTTTTCAAAAGAGAGATTAAGAGATTTGCTTTATTGAAATTTCAGTTTTTACACTCTGTAGTCATGCAACACACACATAGGCTGAAATATATACACACATGCACAAACAGGATCCTATGAACATGCACTAATGGAGGGATGTCAGAGTGACGGAGCAGCCCACAGTGGGCGCTCCTGAGCTGGTGGTGGGGAGGGGGTTTGGTGCCTTGTTCAAAGGTACCTCGGCAGTGCTCAGGCACCTCTCCAGCTACCAGACCAACTTCCATATTCTGTCCGCACCGGGACTTGAACAGGTAACCCTCTGGTTCCCAACCCAAGTCCCTACAGACTGAGCTAAGGATTCGATGGATACAAAAGAAGAACACTCAAACAAAATAAAACCTTTCCCTGTGTAATTTAATTTGTATCTATTAAATGCTTCCCACTCTATTATCGGGTAGATGAAAATCAGCAGAACTTTTTCTCTTGTTAATATTTCAGATTAGATTTTGGCTCTGTTCAAACAAAACTCCAACTGCAGCTCAACACTCGCTCCTGGTTGTCCGTTGAGCTGCTTTTAAGGCATTGTGCAGCTGTTCAGACACAATGCAACCTTAATAAAAAGAAGAATAAGAGCTAAAGAACTGGATACAATGAGACTCCCAAGTTTAAAAAGGAACAAAAACACAGAAAACAGAAGCTCTTCTGTTTGGACCAAAAGTGACACCTGACCATGAAATCTGTGTGATGGCTGAGGTGGGGCTGCTGTGTATCTGTGTATCTGTGTATCTGTGTTGGGTGGGGGGTTGGGGGTTTGTCTGTGAATGTGTCCAACAATACCAATTGAGGAACCATATGGGTTTGAGATTAAATTTACATAATTTAACTCATTGGACATTTATTTCTCTCTCATGGGGGCAGAGAAACGAGCACAGGGCAACATCATTATTTTAATGTATCGCATTCTGGTTGTGTAATAAATCTTTTCTCAATTATGTTAATGAATATAAAACAGGTACAAACAATCTTTTTTTTGTTATCTACATAAATCATTAACCTTAATTATGTGAATTTCTATAGTCTACATTTGATTTTCAGATATGTCATCATCTGTCAAATAACGCGTATAGATAGAGAAGATAGAGTCATGTGAATATTATACTGTGATAACATGAAACTGAATAGTCTGTCCCTCACTCTTTCAGGGGAAACCAGAACAGAGAGCTGGCCCAGCAGTGGCTGGACAAACTGAACGACCAATGGGAACTTCAGAGGTTTCTTCAGGACTGTCATGAGGTAGGAGGCTACAGACACGATGGATTGGTTGAACTTTAGGGAACTCGGTACAGTGTGATGTCATAGTGAGAGAAAAGTAAGAGGATGAAAATCTCTTTTTTTTTTTTACTTGCAAAGCCAACTTCACATTCACCTCTACTTCACCTCTAGAGGCCAAATATGTTTCACTCGTTAGTGCATCACCCAAGAACAATCAAAGCTTCTCTGTTCTGCACACTTTGACCTCCTCTTGTACCTCTTTGTCACAGTTAGCCGTTGTGCAGTCTGTTCTAGACAAAGTGATACGAGTGAATCTGAGTAGTATGATCTGTAGGTTTTTGTTTCACTGATGTGAATATGAGATCTTGTGCTATAAAACGTCAGCTATAAAGATAGATTTAAAAAAAAAAAACATTGAGGATCCCAGTTTATTTATTTGCGTACGTGTGTGAAGATATCCTGCCAGAGTCCACACCTCTTGTGTGTCTATAAATGTGTTGCACACAGCTCACCTCGGCCCGAACCTGCAGTTCACTCTCTCCCCTGCAGAGTCATCATGGGTCTCTTTCTGGGCCAAAACCTTGTTTAGTTTCAGCAACTTTCTCTCTTTGGCTCTACTGAATAATTCAGCAGCACAGCTCCTCATCACTAATTCAGAGGAGGAAGAGTGTATCTCTCTGTGTACTGTACACGAGTGTGTGTGTGTGTGTGTGTGTGTCAGCGTGTGTCAGCTGTATACAGTATCTGTCAGTTCCTATGCGGTACGCCTTGTCTGTAGGAATACGGTGAGCACGAGGAGTCTTCCCCTGAGTGTGTGTGTGTTAGTGTGGTGTGTGTAGCCCTTCAGTGGGCGAGTGACACTGCGTCAGTCAGTAGGAACCTGAGCTCTCAGCTGCCAGGGTGTGTTCTGCTCTTTGAGGCTGCATCCTCGTGTTTCCTGCCTGCTGCTTCACGCTGACCTTCAGATTTTTTTTATTGTACGACATCCAAAGTGTCTCTTCTTTTGTCTTCAGGGGATACAGTCATGACACGCTGTCAGTCAGAGCGTCCAACACTGCTGCTTTATGCCATATGAAGACAAACAGATAAATTAGAAACAGCTCAACTGTACAAGTGGTGAACAGGAAGTGTTTAATGTGTTGGAATATTCAGCTCAGTTTTGATACAGACTTGAGTCTTTAGGTTTAGCTGTAGTTAGCATCAAACTCTCCCTAGATGGAGCTGCTCTTTTACAAACACTTTCCTCACGAGGCAGAAATAAAAGACAAGGTGCAAAGAACGCTAACCTCTAGAATAAACTTCAATCACAACAGACCACACTATTTATTATAAGTATGTCAAACACAACTTTTTATAAGATTTGTTTTAAGATTAACTTTATTGTCCCAGTGGGAAATGTGTCTTGGACTTCACAGAGCTCTGATGCAGTAGCAAAAAATAACAAAATACATTCATTCGTCTGTAAAACATGTCAGTTAAATAATCATTAAATTCCATACAAGTGAATTACTAAAACCATAAATATGTAATAGTTAAGAAAAGTGATAAACAATGCAGGTACAGCTACACATCTTCACACACACACTCACACCACCTCATACATGCACACATACACACACATCACAGCTTAGGTACTGTTGAGGGCTTTGATGGACAAGGGAACAAATGTATTTCTGAAACTGTTGTTGTTACATCTTATTCTTTTTTTTTCTATGCCCATGTTACTTTTGAACTTGGTTTCCTATTTGTCTAACCAGCAGTAACAGACCTGTGTAAAGTCAGTGGGCTTTCACTTAAATATGTTTAGGTCTATTTGTATAATAATTGAATCTTTAGTCGGCCTTATGATTGAATTTGTGGCTTCACTTGTTGCTTAAACAATACAGGAGTAAACCTGTTATTCTTGTAATGGAATTTTCCCTCTTATATAATCCTGAAAATCCCTCTTCAACCTGCCTTTTCTTTTTTTTTTTTTTATTACCAACCATATCTTTGGTACTAAAGGGTACTGAAGCGGTGAACTCTTTGTCATACTGCTGCTTTTTACCTGGATTCACCTCCCGGTCTGTTTCAGCAAAAGAGCAGGTGTGTGCCTGAAGGCTGCAGTACTGAACACAGTGTGTCCAGAACCCATGAAACAAAACAAAAAATCCCTCTGTATGCAGTTCCTCTTGTGGTGGCTCCTCAGTGTGTGGCCTGGTTTCCTCATATATAACAAGAGATTTATTATTTTATGTGCGACATAATTCAAATGAAAACAGTGTTTCTTGAAGTCTAAGATCTGACTCACCTTGATGTGTTTGTAATTTCAAAAAGCTCTACTCTATGGAGATTAAAGTAATTTAAATTGGCAGTTAAATAATTATTACTTTCAAATGAATCATTAATTTATGATTTCAAAATCAAAGGGGAATATGTCATAAATAAATCAGTCTGTGTTCATTTATCAATGTTACATCCAAAAGGCCTGAGCCTACAACAACACAAAGACTGAATCAAACTATAACATTTGAAAACTTTCAGAGATAAAAACTGAATCATCAGAACTGCAGACAAATAATCTGATGCTCGACTTATTAATTAATAGATCATAAGTCCGTGGCACACTGAAAATAACTTTACTATATTTCACTGTGAGCTAACAATAAAATATCACAATAAAATATAGTTATATAATAAGTTATTTTCAATGTGCCACGGATTTATGATTTATTTTTTGTGGTTTGTTCCTGAACTGTGCGCACCTGAGAACGTGTTTGGGCTGTGCACGGGGCGCCCCGTTGGCCATTTATTAATGAATAGATTAAACATTTTAGTTCCACACATTCCCGTCACCTTGCTAAGTCTTCCTTGTTCCCTCCTCTTCGATCAGAATTCGACTTGATGTGATGATGAATCCCTTCATGTCCCTCCTCGTCCCTCATTCATTGTTTTCTCTTCCTCCTTTTTTCTGTCGCCTTCTCCCCCTCACACGTCACTCAGACCAACTATATGTCCTCCTCCCCCTCCCTCACTCAGACTCATTCATGTTCTAACGCCTCCCCATCCGTTTCACCCAACACACACTCACACACTCCCTATCTCCACCTCCTGCACCCTCAATTCATTTACATCCTCAAGGCGGGGCATCAGGCTGTGACCCTGCGTGACCTCTGCAGTCAGCGGACCTGTGTGTGTGTGTGTGTATTCATGCACATGTGTTTGCACAATCATTATGAGTTTGAGTGTGCACATATTCTTGTTTGCATGTGTGAACGTGTGAGGCGTGCTGCATGTCCTCACCCGCCTGTACAGTGTGTGTGTGACTGTGTGAGGTGACAGAGTGACAACAGAGGGGGGCGTCAGACAGACATCCAGCCCTCGTCTCTTAAAGGAAAAGAGGAGCAGGAAATCCATCAAACTACAAATGCATCATTCAGGATAAATCCCCCCCCCACACTATGTCCCAGCCTCTTCTTTCCCCAACTATCACACTCCTTTCTTTTTTCTCTGTGCAAACCTGTACTGTTTCTCTCTCTCTCTTCTCTCTCTGCTTTACCACTGCAGCAGCGTCAGGCAAGCTGGAGACTGAGAGTACAGCTGCAGAGAGAAAGAGAGGGATGGTAGAGGGGGTTGGTGTGTGTGTGGTGCGGGGAGATGAAGGATGAAACAAAAGCAGCTGTGGAGGAGTCGTGAGCACGGCTGTTTAGAGAAGCCCGGTGCCCATAAAAATGAATCTCCTCTTTTGTAACTCAGGATATTTTCTCTTCACCTTCACCCATCTACCTACCGTGACACCATTTAAAGCCCACATCCCCCTCCACCTCTTCCAGCTCAGCTTCATTAGCCATAACCGGTGAGCCTGGAGGCACTGCCTGCATCCCTGCCCCCCCACCCCCTACCAAAATCCCAATCCCAGTCATTTGCTCCTCCTCCTCCTCCACTCGATTTCTCCTCCATCCAGCCAGGCTGCCTGCTCACTCTCTCTATCCCACTCGCTGTAGGTGTGAGGCAGGGTAAGGGAGGGGCAACCCATCCACCGGCTGGGCTGCCTGCCATTTTATTGTATTTTAGGAGGATCTCTCCTTTTTTTATTTCTTTCTCTTCTTCTACTTATTTCTTCAGTCGTCCTCATTCCTGCCCTCTTCCTCGTCACTGATCCGCCCCCGCCCCTCCTCTTTCCACTGATAGTGGTTACAGCGAATCCTCAAAGCAAATACAGAGAGAGAGAGAGAGAGAGAGAGAGAGAGAGAGAGAGAGAGAAGAGGGAGGGGGAGCTCAGCCTCAGTTCGAAGTATCCAGTCTGTCTGCTCAGCCAGTATTGTTGTTATTTACCCGGCTGCTTGGCATTTTCCTCTCTGCACATCTTTTGAGTCGCTTCTCCTCTGATCAGCTCTGCAGAAGACACCTTTCAATCCATCAACCCTTTTTTTGTTTCCATTTTTTGCGCTCATTTTCTCTCTTCCGTACGTCTCGATGATGGGGAGCATCTCTGCATGTGTGTGAAAGGCAGACAAGCGAGGATGCGGAAACCAATGGCTGCCTGCAGCTGCCACAGTCTCGTTGGTTGTTCCTGTTAAACGTTGCCGGTAAACTGGGTTCATTTTGATATCAGCTTGGTCAGGAGAGACAGACGTGTGTGCAGGTGGAAATGTTGCATGCATGTGTGAGAAAGGGGGAGCGATGACAGAGAGACGAGGAGGCTAATGCCGACCTGAATATGTTGGTGGTGTTTTTACTGAGGTGTGTTTGTCCCATGAACACAGTCTGTGTGATCATAATGTGTATATTTGACTCTTTGATGGATAATTGGAGCTGTGTGTGTGAGTGCTGGATGTTTACTGGGTGGAGTGTGTTGATGCTGTGGATACTGATCTGCTGGTGTTTTGTGTGTACATGTGAAATCCTGCCGCCATGCTTGTTGGTACACGTGTGTCAGCCTACATGTGCCTGCTGTGCGTCATTAAATATTCATGGTCCGGGGATTTGACCTTGTGTTTCCAACTGTAGGTTTTTCTGGTGTGATTATCTACACAAACTCCTCTTTTTCATGTTTTTATTATTGTGGTCTTACAGAAGCTAATCAAAGGCCCATTATGTAAAATATTCAATACAGATATTACACAAGAAAATGTTTTTTTTTTCCTTATCTACACACATCATAAGTTTTAATCTACTGTATTTATGCCTATCAAGTACTGACCTTTCTCTCTCTCTTCTATTCTCTCCCTGCCTCTCTCTCGCCCAGCTCGGGGACTGGGTGTGTGAGAAGATGCTAATGGCGAGGGACAGCAGCCGAGACGAGACCCAGAAGCTTCATAAGAAATGGCTCAAGCACCAGGCCTTCATGGCCGAGCTGGCCCAGAATAAGGAATGGCTAGACAAAATTGAGAAGGTGAGTGCTGCTTTGCCTTAATTAAATAGACTTTTACTTTTATTCTCTTGAGTTAAAGTTTCCAGGCTCATTAAAAGTTAATTTCATACCATTGCTGGATGTGGAATATTCTTCTATAAAGCTTATCGTGTGGTATTTACAGCTGGGACAGCTCATGGTGAGAAGTATTCAGCGATTTTGCTGTTTTGTTGTAGCAGCTTTTTTTTTTCTAGATGTTTTCTATGTTTTCCAGACTTTCTCTTTCACAAGCTGAATGTGTGCTACCACAACAGAAGCTTTGCTAACAGTCTAGTCATTTTAAACTAGTTGTTTTAGCTGTATTATTATTTTAAACTCTTTTGTACAACAGTCCTTGTATTAAACACAATCCTAAATGTGCTTAATGAAAGCGTAACAAAGCGGTAGGAAGGGCAGAAAGTATTAATGAGGGGGTTTTTAAATAGAGCAGGGTGTGCTGTAACCTTCACTTGCTGCCCTGAGTCCTGATAGGTTCTGTTTCATATTAAGGAGATTAATACAGCACGTCATCAGTCTCCTGTCTAAATCTGAAATCAACACAGGACATAATGAGGCTCTCCAGTGTTTCCCTAGCTGCACGACACGTTCAGGTTTCTGCTGGGTCGACTGTGAGCACTTGTGTTCACATGTCTGAGGTGAATCTTGACGTGTAAAATCAGAGCTGAAGGATCCCCTCAGGCTGCCTGTTTCTCATCACAGACTTCTGCTCCTATTTTAGTCTAATTCACACATAGTGTGTCTTGTGTTTGGCCTGTGAAGGTGATAATTGAATGGCATTTGTTGATGTAACACTACAGATGGATGGAGTTGTTATGTGTATTCTATTTTATTGTTTTTTTGGTTACATGAGTGATGGATAATAATTTAATTACAGCAAAATAAACTTTATTCTATGCACAAGGAAGATTAAAAATATAAAGTATATCCAAGTCCAACATGTTTAGTCTCTATCTCTGCAGGCTTTCCTTTTTAAGAGGTTACCTGATGTTAAGATGAGTTTGTCTCTGATTCAGTTCCAGACTTTTAAAAACCCAGATGATTTACTGTTTCCGTAAATAAAAAAAGATATTCATGTGATGACCCATCGGAGTATACATCCCCAGTAACAGTCAGTGGCTGCTGAACGAGTTGTCACAGGACATGTGGATGCTGATGAAGTGAACCTATGGTCTGTCATAGAAACCTGTGACTTTAAGGTGTGCAGGCTGCAATGTAGAAATCATAGGAATACACAATACATCTTTGCTGTTCATCTGTTCTGAGGAAAGCCAAAGAAACGCTGTTTCTGGAACAGGAACAAAACCATTACAGTACATATTGCCATCTGAAACATTAAAAATAGCTTCACTGCTTTCCCTCCTGCTACGATGGTGCAAACAGTTGTCTGTGACATAATTTCTAGACTCTCTGCAGTCTCGTTTTGGGCAGGGCGGAAACTGAACTCCCCTGGTGGGAGTAGAGCGATGGAGCCAGTGCCGGGCACTGTTATATGTGTTAAACATGCCCAGACCATATGAGGAGTTACAGATTTTAGCTGAAACTATTGGTCAACCTGGTGATCAATTAAAATACTGACAACAATCTGCAGCTTCTTTGATAAATGAGAAATTCACTTTAACAATATGTAGCTTCATAAAAGTGAGAATGAGCTTCTTCTTCTTTTTGTATTACGTTAGAGAAAACTCAATGGGGGGGGATAATGGCCCATTAGTAAGACTTGCATGAACTTTTTTAAAGTAAATGGGTGCATTGAAGCTCCCCTAACATCCACCTAAAGTTCTGATGTGGCTTAATAATAAAACATTAATGCATGACCACAAATGTCACATTTTAAAACAAAACTGGTTCCTTGTTTTGTTGTTCATTTTATTTCGAATAAAAATCATCTCACACAGATTATAAAAGCTTTAGCTAAACAGGTACAGTTAGACTTTAACGTCAGCGCTCTTTGCTGCAGAATCAGCTGATCACTGTAACATCGTGTATGAAGGCTGTACAGGTGGGCAGCTTCACCCACTGCTGAGTGATTTATACTGTATGCTGCTCATTATGTCTAATTACTGCATGCCTGTTGCTCAGAGGCCAATCATTCCTCTCCATTTCTTCTGCTATATTGGGCGCTGTGTGTGCAATGCATGTCTATAATGTGGGCATATGATGTGAAGAAAGTGGCTGATGTGTAATGATGGAAAGATATGAACGCAGCACAGTGAGGCCTGAGAGCGCTGAGCTTTTTTTCTGGTATAGATTCACGGGTCGTGTGCTATTCTGAAGGCGGAGTTGGGTTACTGGAAAACGCTTAGGAGAGAGAGGAGTTTCTTGTCATACTCGGTATTTATCTGCAGGTGATGGTGTTACAGGAGAGTTCAGTGTATGATAAATGGACCATGATGATAGAGGTTCCTTATTTGTGAAACAAGTGATCAGTCTGGGTTTAACTTCTTTCAACGCTGGTATAAATGCATTGTAGGTTTTTTTTTTTTATCATAAGCAAGAATTTATTGGACAACAGTATAAACAATAAACGATCTGTGCATGAAATCTACTGTTGCTTCCTCAAATAAAGAGCCCATTGTTGTTTTTACGCCCACCATCTCAAGCATAAGATCGTCGCCAAGTGCAATTCTTTGTTTGCATCTTTAGATCTAAGGATGTAATTTGGCAGGCGGTAAAAAACAATATCAGCCTACTCAACTCTCCTCAGTGCTCAAACAACACAGAAACATTTCTTAGTGTTTATATTCATTCATTTTATTTTTGTCTACTAAGTATCGATATATAATAGTAATTATTACAAACCTGTTTCTACTGCAAACACCATAACTAAGACTTCTGTGAAATGTCAGCAGGGAGGTGGAGAGAGGGTTAATGTGTTTATTTCTCAGCTGAACAACATGTACATGATGATTTATCCAAATGTGGGAGACACCGCTGTTTGAATTCAGCCAGAGAACATGAAAGATGAGACAGCGTTTTTGTCTTTATTTGGAAAAAGGAGCATCATCGTGCATGTAGAGAAACATCTGGGGCAAAGTTTAAATATATGAGTGTGTATTTGTATCTGCACTCAAATTTTTGTCTTAGGGAGTAACAGTCTTTGAAGTTTATTATCAGGAACTGTTGAGATGTAACACTGTGGCTTGTCTTCACTTCATCCAAAAGTTGTTTTAGAGTTAAGCATCGAATCAGGTCATTTTTAAGTTTATATCCTAGTGGGTAATATATCATGCATAATGCATATATTCCAGATTTCCAGTTTCGTATTGGTGTGTTTCCAGCTCTGGTGGTCGCAGCTTCTGTAGCAGCCTGTAGTCACACCAGGCTGTCGAGCTGTTGGCAGATACTTAGACAGAGTTATAGCTTCTGAAGTTGTTGGGCAGCCATGTTTGTTCCATAAGCCTGTTCGTGGCCGTTACTTAGCAACAACCTTCTTCTTTTTTTTAAGTGTAGGATTTTGCGTTTTATCATGGCAAAACAGCAACAGTGAGAATTTGTTTATTTTTTTACTTGTCCTATTGGTTTACTCTGTGCTGCAGCTCGGCTCCTTACATGCATCTGTTGGTAAACCGTTTAAAAAGTGTTTTACAATGAACACACAGTTTCAAACAAAGAAAAACATCAGGCCTCCCGACTGAGTAGTCGAGTACAAATCCTCATTATTTAATTATTATTGTGGTTCTTTTCTCTGTACTGTGCATTTTGTGTCCTGGTTTTGTCTCTCTGCTTTTGTCCTCTGAGAGTCTCAGGTCTATTTATGTAATCGGGTAAGAGCCCTTCTCTTCCTTGAAGGACTGTGTCAAGTACATAGCCTGTTTTTAGGAAAGCGTCAGCCATCTGTGAGTGTGTCTGTATCTGTAGTGTAATGTGTGCATATGTTTTTACTAGATCTGAAGTTTCTCAGAGAGTTTTAGGTAGCCACTAAATGCCACTTCTCTCTATTCCATCCTCAGTGAAAACGTTCAGGAAGTTTTCATCAGACTCTAAGAAAAGTGTATTTCATAGTATTTCATTGCTTTAACGTGTGGTTGTAACTTTGAGAAAAGAGCTCAGAGTTGAACACCGATAATCTTTGCTGTGTGTGTGACACCCGGCGCTGAGGGAGACACCAGCTGAGGAAGCTTTTTTTTCGGTTCATTGTGATGCCTGCCGTGTGCTGTGTCAGTTTCTGCTGTGACGTCGAGCATCCAGCAGCAGTTTGTCACCTCTTCCTGTGCTTGAGGCGGTTGCCCCGGCAACAGCTGTCCCATCCCTTCTCCCTTCGTCTGTCTTTCCCCTTTCTGTGTACAGCTCACATGTGAAGGTCATTCCTCCTTCCCATCTCTCTCTCGCTCTCTCTCTCTGTCTCTAACTATGCTTCAATCCAAATGGGACAGGAAACAAGTCAAGACTTAACAGGAAGTGATGTAAGACAGTGTTGAGATGAAGCCCCCCCTACAGTAGGTGTTTGTGTGGACTAGTATAGAGGGCTGAATCTAAAAAAGCTGTGGTTTGCAGTGTTCTGAATGTGTAATGCTTTGTTAAATCAATAACTCTGCTGTTCTGTTGCTGCAGGATGACGCGCCTTCCAGTAGGGCTGCTCGATTATGGCAAAAATCATACTCACTATTATTTTGATTGACACTGAGATCATGATTATTAAACAGGATTGCTCATTGATTTTACACCATCTGCATCACATGCATGTATCGATCCTCAACACTCTTTACACTTCAACATGCTGAACCCTCTGAGAAACAAGCAGTACATTCAAAAGAAAGTGAAAAAATATAAATATATGGGGCGCCGGTGGTGTAGTGGTTAGTGCGCGCGCCCCATGTACGAAGGCTGTGGTCTTTAAGACAGGTGGCCCGGGTTCAAATCCGGCCTGTGGCTCCTTTCCCGCATGTCATTCCCCAATCTCTCTCTCTGATTTCTGACCCTATCCACTGCCCTGTCAAAGGCATAAAAAGTCAAAAAATGTATCAAAAAAAAACATATTTATA